GTTTCGTGCAAAATCCATCTGCGAAGACTTTCAAATTTGTTTACAAACATTACAGGTGCAAAAAGTACAGCTTTGCTGTTTTTCATGCCTTAAAACAGCGTTTGGAGCGCTGAAACGTCGTTTTTCACATTCAGGGTGTCCTGTGAATTTCTTCACAAAAAGTCACTTCAAACACCGTTTGCCGTCATATTTATCATAAAAGAAGACATCCTGAAAAGGAAATATGTTTATAAACATTAAGGTGCGAAAAGTACAGCTTTGCTGTTTTCTATGCCTTAAAACAGCGTTTGGAGCGCTGAAAAAGTCATTTGTGTCATTCAGTGTCTCCTGTGAATTTCTTCACCAAAAGTCAATTCAAACATTGTTTGCCGTCATATTTTTCAAAGTCGACGAAATCCTGAAGAGGACATATGTTTATAAACATGAAGGTGCGAAAAGTACAACTTTGCTGTTTTCTATGCCTTAAAACAGCGTTTGGAGTGCTGAAAAGGCCACTTTTGTCATTCAGTGTCTCCTGTGAATTTCTTCACAAAACTTGACTTCAAACACTGTTTGCCGTCATATTTATCATAGTAGAAGACATCCTGAAGAGGAAGTATGTTTATAGACATTAAGGTGCGAAAAGTACAACTTTGCTGTTTTCTGTGCCTTAAAACAGAGTTTGGAGCGCTGAAAAGGTCACTTGTGTCATTCAGTGTCTCCTGTGAATGTTTTCACCAAAAGTCACCTCAAACTTTATATGCCGTTATATTTGTTGTAGTAGACGACATCCTGAAGAGGAAATATGTTTATCAACCTTAAGTTGCGAAAAGTACTACTTTGCTGTTTTCTATGTGTAGGAGACATAGAAGTTTGAAGATGAGGAGCACAGTGTGCTTGAATGTGTGTGTGTTGCAGAGGCAGTGGTTCAAGTGGGAGTGGGCGTGTGCACATGCGGAAGTGTATGTGTGTATAAAGGGATGCACTCACCTGTGTCACTGATGGAAGGAGGAGAGAGTCAGGGTTGGTTAGTAGCCACAATGTTTGTTGACCGCTACCCATTCATTCATTAATCACCTTTTTATCTGTTTATTCTGCTGGTTTTCATTTTTCCATTCATTCAACTTTTGCGCTGTGATAGCTCTGTGCTCTTTTGTCACAATAAATGCACAAAAAGCATATTTGGATCTCACCGTATCTGTTATTATAGCCTCCAAGCGCGTCACAAATCTGTGAACCTGAGGACCCAACCTCAAACTCTCAGCGGCGAAAAGGTTTGTTTGGACGCCGCAACACTATGCCTTAAAACAGCGTTTGGAGCGTTGAATAGGCCACTTTTGTCATTCAGTGTCTCCTGTGAATTTCTTCGCAAAACTTGATTTCAAACACTGTTTGCCGTCATATTTATCATTCTAGAAGACATCCTGAAGAGGAAATATGTTTATAAACATTAAGGTGCGAAAAGTACAACTTTGCCGTTTTTCATGCCTTGAAACAGCGTTTGGAGCGCTGAAAAGGCCACTTTTCACATTCAGGGTGTCCTGTGAATTTCTTCACCAAAAGTCACTTCAAACACTGTTTGCCGTCATATTTATCATAGTAGATGACATCCTGAAGAGGAAATATGTTTATAAACATTAAGGTGAGAAAAGTACAACTTTGCTGTTTTTCATGCCTTCAAACAGTGCTTGGAGCGCTGAAAAGGTCACTTTTGACATTCAGGCTCTCCTGTGAATTTCTTCACAAAAAGTCACTTCAAACACTGTTTGCCGTCATATTTATCATCGTAGAAGACATCCTGAAGAGGAAGTATGTTTATAAACATTAAGGTGCGAAAAGTACAACTTTGCTGTTTTTCATGCCTTGAAACAGCGTTTGGAGCGCTGAAACGGTCACTTTTGTCATTCAGTGTCCCCTGTGAATTTCTTCACAAAAAGTGACTTGAAACACTTTTTGCCTTCTTATTTGTCATACTAGAAGACATCCTGAAAAGGAAATATGTTTATAGACATTAAGTATTAACTCAAACTTCAGGATTTGTTGTGCGACGGGCACTGAAGCAGGTATCCTGTGATGTCTGCCGTGCTCGCCTAGTGACAGATGCTGCATCTGCCATTAAGGACTAGAGCTACCACCTGCTGTGTCTAAAAAACCATTGAGGTCTGGTGATTCCATCAGAAGGCACAGTGAGGGTTGTCAGGGCAGCAGAGTGGCTCATTCGCCAGGCATCAAGTTTCAGACCGTCACAGCCCATAGAGGTCATGTACATGGTACGGAAGAGGATCGGGTCAGAGGATGTGTTTGTGCTCGGGGAGCACATCAGCGACACGCAGTATGGCATAGACAGCCACCACCATATGCTATTAACGTTAGTCGCGTCCCTGTTTTTTTATGCTAGGGCTGCACCACATAGCAACATTGACAACACTTAGCTTACAGAGCAACAACATGTGACAGAAGTATAATAAAACAGTCCTTTACAAAGGGCATTAGCCCAACGTTATGATCCTGGTGGGTCTCTCTCTCTCTCTCTCTCTCTCTCTCTCTCTCTATATATATATATATATATATATATATATCGATATCTACACCTCTCTCTATATATATATTTATCTATCTATATCTTTCAATATCTTTAGTTATTGTTAATCCTTCAGTGTTGAATTGCTGCACTATGTTTCCTGTGTTTTTACATGCTGTAAAGATTGATTTCTATGCAGAGGTGAACTTTTTTTTGTACCTTAGTACAACTGTGAGATACTTTTTTCTTGACTTGTACTCAATCCATGGGGCTTATCCTAATGAAAAGTAAAAATTGGAATGTTTTATGAATATGTTTTTTATTTTTTAAACTGTGAGCCATTTTATTTATATAAAGCATATTCGAACAGCATCCATTAATATTTATCTCTTCATTAATCAAAGTAAAGTGTAGGCATAAATATAAACAATATTCCAACAGAGTAACACACACTAACTTTCAACGTTTAGTGATTGTTTCTAGGAAGTATGATTTGATAATTCTAATAACTTGTTTAACTGTAAACTAAATTGTATAATTCATCCCACTCTCACCCAACCAGTCCTGTGGGGGTTTTCGGTTCCTTCCCACTGTTGCGGACTGCTTGCGGACTGCTGAAGCTTATAGGGAATCCAAATGTTTTGGATTGTTGGGTGTTTCTGTCTCTGCCTTTGTGAAGCGCTATGAGATGACTGTTGTTGTAAATGTGTGCTATACAAATAAAATTGAATTGAATTGATAGTGGAAAGGTGATTTTCAAGGGGGAAAAGACGTTACAGAATAGGCTGTGGGAGCCAATTTAAATGATGTTTATTTGTTTATTTAAAAGGATTCCTATTCCTATAAAGGATTCCAAGATGTCAGCTTGTCTTCCTGGGATCCAGACAATAAAATATCAAAAACAAGCATTACAGTCTCAAGTAAAAATAGAAGAACAACAACAAAAAAAACAACAACAAAAACACACAACAAAAATGTTCGAAATAATAATAGAAATACATAGAAAAATACATAAAAATAATATAGAACAAGACATATTATCCAGAATAATGAATAAAAGACATTACATAGAAATGTATATACATATATACATTAAAATACATAGAAAACACCTTTTTTCCTGAAAATAAAGAGAAAAATGTGATTTTTCATTATACGTCTGTGATTTTTTTATTTTTTTTAAAATAATTTTTACCGGTATTTCCCACTTGCTCGAGGTCCCGCCCTCTGCCCAGTTTCATTGGTCAGCGCAGCCATTTCTCAGCTCTCATTGGTCAATCCCAGCTGTTATTCAGACGGTCGCTTCGGGGTCACTTCAGTCCAGCTGAGCCCGTCAGGTCGTCATCGATTCCTCACAGATAGCAGAATGGCAGGACGTCTTCTTCTCCGAGTCTGTACAGCAGCGACAACACTGCAGATGAGGACCAACGCGGCGGTCAGACCGCTGCAGCGGGCCGTGAGCTCCATGGGAGGTACGACTGTGTTTACGACCGAAGAAATAAAGACTTTATACCGTTAAACAGGCCTCAGACGGCGGTGAAGGTGCAAGGTGCAGCTGTCAGCGGGTGTAAGACGGAGAGGAGCTGAGGGGGAGAGGCAGGTTATGTCGCAGTATTTTAGTTTAGTTTTGAGTTTATTGCGCAGGTTGGTTACTAGCTAAAATGCTTTATCATACACGACGTCTGAATGTGATGTTAACTCGCTACGGTGGTGTTTTATTTACAGGAAATAGAGACACCTGATATTTATTCTCAGTATTAAAATTTGTTTGTGTTCATTTGTGTGCCGTGAGAGTCACTGTGACCTACTAAAATGTAACTATAATGTATGAACTAAATAGTGAAGGTCATTTGGACTTTAACTCGTGGAAAGGCCTCGGATAGACCCTCCTCCTTTGGCAGCCTGTGTTGGGTTGATGCCAGCATCCTGATAGGATACATGAGTGTGGGAGGCCTTCAATGTCGACGTGCAGTTTCACTTTACTGACCTGCTGACTGCCAGAGAAGCTTTGGATTTATTGGGTTTCTCTATTCTAGAGTCTAAACGTTAAATCTGAAAATACTCAGGTATCTTGGTAGAGTTTTTATTATTCTAGGGTCTTAAACTTAATAGTTGAATTCGTCACGAAAATTTGTATAGTACAGTCGTCCTCAAATGTATTCATACCCTTCCATTAAAGAAAAGGCAAAATTCACAATAGTCACTCAAATCACTAGAAACTGAAAAAAGTGATAATAAATAAAAATGTGCTAAATTGTGATTTAGTGAAATAAGACATTGCTTTTGAATTGTGGTTGAAAATAATAATAAACAAAACTAATATATACTAAATATTACATTAGTCTGGTATAATAAATAATGCTGTTGAGTCTTAACCCTAGTATTTAAATTAGTTAATTTTCTTTTCTCTATTGTTAAGCACCCTGACTCAGTGTCTTTTGTTTTGATGCACTCTATAGAACAGTGACTTGGCCTGTAACAAGCAATTATTTCCATAGTAGAATAATCTGTGAATGATTTACTCAAATAATCATCCATCCATCCATCCATTATCTATACACTGCGAAATCCTCACTAGGGTCGCAGGGGGCTGGAGCCTATCCCAGCCGACTTAGGGCAAAGGCAGGGGACACCCTGGACAGCTCACCAGTCTATCGCAGGGCTACACTTAGAGACAGACAACCAAGCACACTCACATTCACACCTACGGACAATTTAGAATCAGCAATTAACCTCAACATGTTTTTGGACTTGTGGGAGGAAGCTGGAGAACCCGGAAAGAATCCGCACTGCACGGAGAGAACCTGCAAACTCCACACAGAACCGGCGACCTTCTTGCTGCGAGGCAACAGTGCTAACCAACTGCGCCACCTTGCAGCCCCTCAAATAATCAACTAGTTCTTTAATCTATAGTCATCAAATGTCTTGTTTTGTCCACAACTGAAAGATTTTTGAATTTACTTTAATAAAGGAGTAAAGAAAGCAAAAAAAAAAAAATCCTCATATTTAAGAAGCTGGAACCAAAACATGTACTTTTTTTTTTGGGAAAATGATTCAAACAAATTAACCAGTTATCAAAAAAGTGGTAATTATTTTAAATTGTTGACAGCTGCATTTCACTTGTTGAAGAGCAGATAACTGAATGCAATTTAAATTTTATCATAAAGACTTTTAAAAACCTCTGTTACACCCATTTTCAGGAATTCCATCAGATGAGGAACAAGCCACTGGACTGGAGCGACGCACCCTGCAGGCCCTGAAACAGGGAAAGGTATGCTACCGTGCACACGAGTGTCCTGTACTTCAACTGTACATGTATTAATTTGTTTTTCACGTTACAGGACCCCTACAGCATCCTGAAGCCCAAGACGTATACTGGCACCAAGGAAGACCCTCACATCGTACCAGGCATTGGAAACAAGAGGCTGGTGGGCTGCCTTTGTAAGTGATGTATATTAAACGCCAATGTCTTTTTCTGAATGTGCACGTCACACACCAGGATAATCTATAATTTCATTTATTGCAGGTGAGGAAGACAACACTGCTATCGTGTGGTTCTGGCTTCATGAGGGAGGTGCCCAGCGCTGCCCTTCCTGTGGTTCCCACTATAAGCTGGTCCACCATGAGTTGCCCCACTGATACTAAGTCTAACACCAGGAGCTCTGTGCAAAGTGACCTACAAGCAGACAACTATATTTGCCTCCACTGTGGCCATAACCTGCAATGTGTGCATATCAGTTAACATGTACAGTTTATCATTAAAATGTGAACCTAAACTAAAGCGTCTCACTAAAAATCTGTTGTCGAGGTTTTAACAAGAGCACCGATCAGCATCCATCATGTAGTGACAAAAGGCCAGTTAAATTATTAAAGCTGAATAAGGCTACTTGTAGACTCTGTGATGTCATAAATCTAACTGAAATTCATAGAACAGGTGTGACCTCGTCAATAGGCTGGGGAGTACGTATCACTTAAAGTTTCTAAGTGCTGTTTAAGTTCAAAATCTGAAATTAACTTTTACTATAATTACTAAAAGCAAGATGCTGAAATAAAAGGCCTAAAGTAACCATTCAGAAGACACTACTTAAAATGACTGACACAACAGGACAGTACTTTACAGTCAAAGTAACTGGTTTATTTCAGTGGCCATACTTTGTTTTTAATTGTGGATTGTTATAGGCATACAGCCAAGAAAATCCACTTAGCATCTAAAGCAAGTGTTTCACACCCGTCTCAATCAAATGTCACAACAGAATTTATGTCAAACATAAAGAGAGTTAGTTTACATTGTCTAGATTCAAACATTTAATGAACAGGGGTTGGAAACAACATTAACTCCTGTAAAATACTCAGTTCCCTTCAATATGCACAACGTACAACCAAAGTGCTGCTTCAAGTATTGCATTTTAGTTGAAACCCTGTCAGGTTTAAATCAGGTCTTTCACAGACCACAGTATTGGGATTATACTATATTTTAAGATTTGATGAACAGAAACCTTTTGCCACTACATTAAATCAGATTAGAAGCTTCATAAAGGTGTATGCCGGTGCACTTGATTGTATTTTACAGGAGTTCATGTTGATACATGTAAGCCCCTGTGCTGTAAATACCAGTAGCTTGCTTTAACATACTTGTCATATGAATAAAAGCATATCTACAAGAACAATATGAAAGGTGAATCACCTTGTAATAGGGCATCAAGTCCTGTGATGGCAAGAAAAAAGCTGAAAATCAAGAAGTATAGACATCCACCTCAATCATTTCTAGCGTCATGTGGCCTCCTCTTCCCAACCAGTGTTCATTTCTTTCAGCAGAATTCAGACTGAAGTCTGCAAGACAAAACATTTGGGAATGTGGTTGCCACTGACAGTCTAAACATGGAGTTCGAGGCATTTCTGTGTACTATCAGGCAAGATTAAAGCCTTGATTGTGATCTATAGCCTGTAAAAGCTTCTCTCGGAGTGTTTCTTGGCTGGTGTACTTGGGCAGGTCCAGCAGGTTGAAGCAGGTGTGGGCAACAGGTAAGTAATGCTCTCCTCCACCTGTCGGCTGGATCACCAGTTTCAGGTTTTTCATGCCCAAGATGGGTATGCGGTCACTTCCTGTGAGGAACACTGTGAAGACCAGAGATGTAGTTTCAGTCTTCCAGTTTGGCACAAAACAATTTATAAATTTACCTTTTGTGGTGTTTTTAAAACAGATACATCAAATGTATTTGGCAGCACTTACAGAGAAACTGTTTCTTCTTCTCTAATGGCAGATCATGGAACACCCCCCAGAAGAGCCTGATGGTGGGATGATCAGTCCAGTATTCCCCTTTGTATTCGGTGCTCTGAGGAGTGCAAACAAATGTTATTTGGTCATTTATCTTATGGCTTACTAGACTGACTTTAAACAATGAGTTTTCCTCAATCACTATTTACAACAAGACCTTTTCAAGCTCTGTCCAGTCGTAGTTGGTGTTGCCAATGACCATGGCCTGCAGTTCGTTTGGTTGGAACAGCTCCAAAACTTTTCCACCACACACTTTGTGGAAGCCTGCATAAAAGCACTCAAACAATGGGGCCACTGAGGTGTTGAAAACATAGTCTACATAGGCATTGACAAAGTCCTGCCTGGAGGAAGAAAAAAGAAATGAATAATAAAATAAAGTACATTTTGGAAAAGTGTTAACATGTAAAATGCAGTTACAATTTCAGATCCTGTAAGACCTGTCTTAAATAATGACTGAGGGCAAATCAGGTCTGTGATGACTTAACTTGAAATATTGTATATATATATTGTTCTTTTCTACTTACGTAAGTGAGAAAAGTAAGAAATCATGCAGGCCTTTTTAATTAGTGTACTTTAGAGGTGCTAGTCAGTGGATTTTGGTACTGTCAGTCAGGGCTGGGCTAGTTGCCTCTCCTTGTTCCCGGTCTTTTTGCCAAGCTAAGCTAACTACTGATTGACTCCACATATTTACTGTACAAACATGAAAGTGGTTACCATCTTCTAATGTCCAAAAAATTCCTTTAAGCACCATCTGTTAACAGCTACCTGTTTGATTTATTGACATTGATATCGTCCCCATTAGGTACTAGTTCCAAGACCTCTGTGGCACCATAGTTTTCTTCTGTGATCTGAAAAAAATAAACACTTTAGATTTTTGCTAATTTGAAAAGTCCATATTACAGTTATCCATCTTATACTTAACATCACAGAGAATGTTGACTGACAATGATCTTACTGTGAAGTTTAAGCAGAAGGTGTCCTCGAGGTCATCTTCTGTGTAGTCTAGCAACTGCTGCAGACTCCTTGTTTAAGAGGATAAATTGTAAAATATTATTTTCCTAAACAGACACTGGTTGAACAAAAATCCTGGAACTGACACTCTGTGTGGTAATACAGTTTCCTATTAACGTAGTTACATGTAGTTAATACAATACCAAGGTAAGCGACCACTCATAAACATGTTAAGTGGAAACCTCAGATGACTGTTCGTTGATCTGACCTTCCTACATCTGGCATTAGCTCTTTTAGGTCATCTAGTGTTGGCTTCCGCTTCAGGAGCTTCTTGTAAAGGGCCACGGGGAAGTTGAGCTCCACGATAGTGAGGTTGTAGATGGCCAGACCACAGATGACCCCGATGAGGTTGAACAAGTCAATGTCCTCAAATGTCTGCAAAGAAGAGTCAGAAAGATTGCATAGAGGGCAGCTACTCATAGGTCTCATTCAGACATTATCTGGTTAATAGCAAAAAGCTTGTAGCTTTAACCCTCTAAACCCTGAGCAGTTTCTGGCAATATTTCTTGTTAGTTGCAGCTGAGTTAATCATGGCTTCTAAGTTGTGCCTCAGGAGTGCAGCATTTCTTTCAATTTAGTATTTTTACAGGATCTGGTGCAACCGGTTTGTTTCAAGTAAATTTTTGAATACCAAAATTTGAAAAAAAATTTTTTTTTATTAAATTTCACTAATTTTGCAGAACTGCTAGTTTTACAGAACAAACTTTATATCATACATGGTATGTTCAAGTACCATAATAAAGCTGAAAACATGATACATTTTTTTGTTCTTAGAGTATCTTGTTATGAAAAATGGCATAATTTTGGTGATTTTTTTCCAATTAATTTCCTGTCTTCATTGTGGAAGGTGCTATACAGTGCACTTAAATGACTAGTATGTAGGATCTAGGGGGATCTATAAACAGAAATGGGATATAGTATTCAGAAGTATAATTTTATTCATGTATAATCTCCTGCAACTACAAAATTTTGTGTTTTCATAAGCTTTCTGTGGAGTATCCATGTTGCAACGCCATGTTTCTGCAGTATCCCAAAACAGACAACCCCACCACTGGCTCTATTTAGGGCCTTTGATGTTTTGGATAGGGAGAGGTAATCAAACCTGATAGCTAGGTGGCTCTAAATGCTACATGCTAGTCTTCTAAACATAGCTAGCACTTGAGCCGTGTGAATCTACAATGGTGAATTTTACAGCAAGTACCTTGTTTGAAAACCAAATGAGCCTTGACTCCTCGTGGTAACGAAACATCCCATATTTGGGATCCAGCAGCTCTTTCATGATCAGGAGGAAGAACTCTTTCCTCACGCCTCCTGCATCGACCGCCTCTTCTCCCACAAAGATCACCTGCCATGAATGTAGCCAAACAGCAGAGTTTAGGGTTGTACCACCAAAACAACAAGCTGAAAGACAAACACTCCACAGAGCCAAAGGAACTGCAGGGAGTCATTTTCTGCAATCATATATGAGGTGTGTCAGAAAAGTTCCAGGACTGGTGTCACAAAAGATATATTTCAAACCCAAACTACAAACTATGAGTTTCCCCTTTCAGATGATCAACCACCACGTCTACAAAGAGATCCTGCGGTGAGGGTTCTGTGTGCGAGAAGAGGCGAGAGTTGTGGTAGGACAAGTGGTGACTGCTTCATCATAACACGCCTGCTCACAATGCCCTGAGCATCCGACAGTTCCTGGCTGAGAAGAACATCGCTATACTGGAGCAACCTACCTACTCACCCTAGCTGGCTCCGTGTCATTTTTTCCACTTCTCCAAGTTCAAGGGGGTCATCAAGGGGACCCGTTTTGAAGACGTGGACAACATCAAGATGGCTGTGACGTCGGAGGATCCTTCCAGGAGTGCATGGCAGCGTGGCAGAGAAGGCTGGGAAAGTGCATTAGACTCCAGGGGGATCACTTTGAAGGGGAAAACTTGTAGGTTGTGTTTGAAATATATCTTTTGTGACACCAGTCCTGGAAGTTTTCTGACACACCTTGTACACTTTAAAGTGAGGTAGTTCTTTACTGTACAAATATTGATTTTAACAGCGTTTACCTTGAGCGGTTTCTTGTAATCCACGTTTTTGGACTTTCTGAGGACCTCCATAGTGTCTCCAACAATATTCTCCCTCCGAACGATGAGGATGAGGCATGGGTTGACTGATTCCACTGCTGGTAGGAACATGGAGCTGAAGTTTTGCATCTGCGCCTGGTCCACGGCCATCTATCAAAGTATGATTAAGGATGAGAATTAAAATACAATCATGCAGTTGCTGCAGTCCCAAATCTACACTGCTGTCCTTTCTGAGTGAAACCTCACAATAAACGGAGAAAGAACATTGAAAGAAAGCAAAGAAAGGGTTTTACTGTATGTTACCTGCATCTGTATGACAGCATCAGTTTGAAGCAGTGTGGTCTTTGCTTGGGCATCAAATACAAAGGGATACCTGCACAGAGTCACCACACCATCATGAACCTGAGGAGACAGAGGCAGAGACAC